ATATAGATTCCCTTTTGTATATTATAATTTAATAAAGCTTAGAACCTATGAGGGACTAAAAACGTTTTTCTTTATTGTGCTGAACACATTTTCCTCTGAAATGAATAATGTTTTACACATACTTTCCTAACGAAAAAGATTTTCTTGTAAAATAAAATGGAAATATTTCTCTTTCAACGGCACTTGAGAGACGATAAAAATAAGACACTTAGACATTGTTATGCTAGTCAAAATATTTGTTTATACTCGACATACAAATAATTATACAATAACATACTGCCGTTATCTAAATTATATAACTTAAAGGTGACTGACTGACTGATATAGTGATCTATCAACGCACAGCCCAAACCACTGGACGGATCGGGCTTAAATTTGGCATGCAGGTAGACGTTATGACGTAGGCATCCGCTAAGAAAGAAATTTACGAAACTCCACCCCTAAGGGGGTAAAACGGGATCCACGCGTACGAAGTCGCGGGCGGCCGCTAGTTGACTATAAATTACTGTTGATTATTTGAAGATGTTTATTAATCATATGAATTGATGCACATATTAATACAATGAATACTAAAATAAGTCGTTAATCATCTTTTTACTTTTTAACTCCAAGAACAAAGTTAAAGCGTAGTACTTATTATTATTGTGTGGTTAAAGTTACAAAATGAGCCTTTTCGAGGACTTTTTCTTTCGACTTCTATACGTAGATGATCACTTAGTCAGGATATAGTATTAAAATTAAGACATTTAACTCATAATAAAACTATCGTTATTATAAACCGTAAATTTGACTAAACTTTACAAAAGACTAAAAGCTAATGAAATGTGCTTTTCCTCACTAAATGGCCGAGGTTGAGAATAGCATGTAATGTATCAGATACTGTATCAAGTGAGTACATAGACACGACCACGAGCCCGCTGCGAGCTGCTCGCGCGTGGTTCGCAGGGAGATCGCAGCGACCCGCCGAGTGGCGGTATCACAGCGAGCACAAAAGCGGCTCGCAGTAGGATCCAAGAGCTCGCAGCCAGATACGCTATGACCGTGGACGAGCCGTACTCACTTGAAGGTTGGTTACGTTACATGCTACGTTACGTGCTACATGGCAGGTGAGTACCCTGCCCGAGGTGAGGTGTTTACGTTACGGTGCGGTTAAGTGTGCGTTGCAGTATGGAGTTTTATACGAAGAATACTGACCGCCTCGAGTTGATACGGTTACGATCCCTTTCCGGGTTGATTAGTGTGTTACATCCTTAAATTAGAAACCGACTATAGGTACTTGGGCAGATCCAGTGCCTAGAGGAAAAACCAGTTAACACGTTAGCTCCCACGGTGCTTCAGCTTTCCAATGTTTACCGTACTATGTGAGCAAAAGCTGTAGTAGATAAGCCTGGTTTGCGTACCGACTAAACATTGCGGTTCCGGGTTTGAATCTTTTTAGGGACAAATTGTATTGTGATGGAAATATACGAGTACTACATGATGCAATGAATAAATGTATCATGAATTACTTTTGCCATTTAGCTTATGCCCGCGGCTTCACCCGCGTGAAATTTAGTTTGTCACAGATCGTCATAAATTATAAGCCTATATGTTATTCTGGGTTATAACGGAGCGATGCGGAGACGAGAGGAGATATGCGGCGAAGCTGGCAGGCTATTTCCGCCAAAGCGGAGCGGTGCAGAAACGAAAGGAGAGCTGTGAGCTGCGCGTAACTGTCAGCTGTTAGTCTATTGATATCTATGAAACACCGTAGCGCTCCGCACATCTCCGCACCACTCTGCTCTTCTCCGCAATTCTCTGCAACGTTCCACGCCGCCTTGTTTTTCTAAGGAATTTAACACACGCCGCTGTCAAATTCCATAGGGCACCCGACACTTCTTCGCTCTTCTCCGCTCGATCCATTTCCACCGAAGCGTATGCAAATAATGAATCTGATTGGTTATTCAAAAAACTTCGCTGCTCCGCTCAGCACCGCACCGTTTGAGTGGAAACCGGGCCAAGCATCAAGTAGCCTTAATCCGGCACTTAACCTTCACTTACCTGCACCACACTAGTAGAACAGCCATCCTTTCTACGTAGTAAGTTACCTCTACAAACAATGGCGCGTTCGCTTTTACGTTGCCTAAGCAGCGCAAGCGCATGACCGCTGCCCGCGGGTCGAACGAAAGTGACACTACAGTCGTGAACTTAAACAGGTGGTCACGCTTTTTGCGGTCGAGTAAAAAATTGGCAGTATTAGAAAAGATGTTTTTTTTATGCTAGACAAGGCAGGTATTTAACCGCGATCGCACCTGGTGTAAAGTGAGATGCAGTCTAGGATGGTACATATCTGCCCTGTAAGTGCCTATTCACTTTCGCCTTGAAAGCGCCCGGATTATAGTGTTCAGGAAATACAGCAGCAGGCAACGAATTCCAGTCCCTAGCTGTTCGTATTTATAACATGTTAAGTAAAAAAACGTTTTTGATAGTTAGTTTTTCCTATTTTCGTCTCTACAGTGACTTCTTGACTTAAGGTCCTATTTCCCCTAGATGGGGCAGAGGGCGTCCACAACAGTCCTCCATCGCGTTCGGTCTTGAGCTTCGCACTTGATCTCACTCCAGGTCTTGCCGATTTTCTTTGCCTCGTCTGCTACAGTGCGCCGCCAAGTTTGCTTGGGACCACGTTTGCGTTTTTTTCGGGGGTCAGTGTCAGTGAGTTAAGTTGAACTTTAGTGAAAAAATACTTAAGGCTTTGTTTTAGGTAGTGTGCTACTTTACGTAATCTATCTGTTTTTCTGTAGATAGACAATAATAATAACGTATTCGTTGTGTACTACAAAACAAAACTTACAATCACAAGAAAAATAAGTTTTTTAAGTACCTACAATTTAGGCGGTTATGCCTATCGGTAGGAAGCAATCTCTTCCAGACAACCCAGAGGCAACTGTTTGAAATTAAATTCAAGTGGTAGATAGTGATGATGATGAAGGTCCATAATGATATTTTATTACTGTACCGCATTTGTAAATATTTAAGTTTCAGAGAGGTCATGCATTTTTATGACAAAGCCATAAAGGGGGCGAATTTATTTATACAGGGTGTCCCAGAATGGGTGAATCAAACTGCTAGGGGAGGTAGCTCTACTAATGTACTATCCCATTCTGGGACACTCCGTATAATACTTTAATGCCAAAATTAAAGGCAAAAGTCAATCTACAATAGGCATTATGAAGACAATAAACATATTGAATATTGAAATAATGATGATGATTTAAATCTATGATAATCAGCATAAATGAATCGTTTAAATCGCTTCAAACACAATGCTATCAGGCCATTGTGACGGATCGCGGGCGAGTGTCACGATCAAGGCCTTCTCATTCAGAATAGACGATTGTTGGTACGTTGACCTTATTAAGCTAGTTGAGGCACAGAATAATAACAAGTACTAAATGAGGTCTTATTTTAAAGATAGCAGATCACTTAGTAGGTAGGTAGTTGATTTGCTAAGGCCCAGAACACACGGTGAAACGCAATTGCAAATTGCAACTTCTAGTTACTTTTGAGTTGCAGTTTCGTTGCAATTGCGTTTCACCGTGTGTTCTGGGCCTACAACACCATGTCATTAGATAGAATTGGACATTAGAACCAAGATGACCAGATTTTCTAATAGATAGTTAATCTAATGATCACGTTATCCTAGTAATATTATAAATGCGAAGGTTTGGAGGTCTGGATGTTTGTTACTCTTTCACGCAAAAAGTACTGAACCGATTTTGATGAAACTTTACAGTATTATTGTTTATAACCCAGAATAACATATACATATGTATGTGGTGCCATCGTGTCAATGTCTAAGTATGTACTTGTACATGGTATACACACATGTATGAAACTTATGCCACAGTTCATGTCGATTCAACAAGCTACAAAAGACCAGAAGCAGCACATTTTTTTACTAAATAAAACACACAATTGAATAAATAATTTATTTTCAAACAAATACATATAAATATAAAGTCCTCACGAGACAAAAGTGCAATCAATAAAAACATCTTAATATTAATTGCGTTAAATGTAGTTATTTAGTGCGTTTGTAGAACACAACAACGTCCAAATAGTTATTGCAACTGTTACTGCGTCGACATCTTCAAATTAAACCCAAACTCGATCACAATAAAAATAGCCTTAATGTTCCAAGACCGGCCCAAATTGAAAGGGGCACGCACGGCCGATGCGTCAAATAGTGAAAATAACATCGATCTTTAAAATTTGGAATAAAGCATGGCAAATGGCGAAACGTTCTGTTACGTGAAGCAATTATGTCAGCCACCAGCCCTGTTCCTGACTGGCTCTCTCAATGACAGTGATGGGGTTAAGAAGAGAGAGGTAGAAAGGGTGAGCCATCGTTCTGATAGGGTCTAGTTCCCACCAAGGCGGAGCGGAGCGATATGTTTTGAATTAAGATAATCAGATTTTATTCTTCATTCATTTGTCGGCCGTTTGGTGTAGTGGTTAAGAACGGACTACTATGCCGAGAGGTCCTGGGGTTCGATTTCTGCCCGGCCGGGCAGAAATTTAAATGACGAATTTTAATTTCTGTGACGGGTCTGGGTGTTACTATGTATAATATGTATGTATTTAAAAAAAAGTATTAAGTAGTATATCCGTTAAGCTAGCACCTATAACACAAGCATTAACTTGCTTACTTTGGGGCTAGCTGGCGCTGTGTGAAATTGTCCAAAGATTTATTTATTCATTAATTATTTGGAGAATTAAATCTGATTGGTTCCAAACACCTTGTGGAAACAGGTCCTTAACAGCACAAATTTCCAAAGACTGAGTTTAGACTTTAATTAGGATAAAATCTACTAAGTCCTCTTTCTCTTAAGTATACTTAATATACCTTCTACCAGATGAAGCCAATCGTCCTAAGTATACGTATGCCACTTACCAGATGTATCCAATCTCGTCATTCGCGGTTAACTTAGCGGTTATTGTTTTGTTTTACTAAAAGTATGGTTAAATTTTGCCGAGGGCATTCGACCCCGCTTTCCCCTTAACTGGTTCACGTCATGGATCGTTATAAATTTGGAATTATTTCCGGGCAGAGACGGTTATTTAGTTGGAATAGCCAGAGCACTCACGACTTTCTGATGTTAATGATTTAATCGGCCCGAATTTGATAGTTAGGTGATGCTACTGTTACTGCATTGAAAAATTACTAACAAGGCGCTAAAGAATGTACACTGAAAAAAAATGTTTGATTACTGCTTACACAACAAAAGTGACCACCGAACACTTTGGTTATGAGGAACAAAATGTTGTGTAAATTAAACAAATAATTCTGTAGTGAGCTAGCTAGACTTAGTTTGGTTATAGTTAACAATTAGTTCGGTGGTCACTTTTGTTGTGCAAGCAGTAACCAAACATTTTTTTCAGTGATAGGCATCAAGAGATTTTCAGGTCCGTGATAGTAGACATTCAATGTAACAAAGAAACACCAGTGAAAATGTTACATTAGAATGTCTCAGTGCTGTCAATCGCCGACCCGAAAATTTCCTGATGCCTGCATTATTTTTAGCGTCTCTTGTTAGTAATGTGTCTGCAATTTGCAGTCTACCTCTGCGATGTTGGATAAAAACCGTTTACAAGATACATTGTTAGATCAATCAGACCGAAACTTGGTTTCTCAGCAGCTTTGACGTGGAATTTGAGCTTGAATTGAAAAATGTTATACAGAAGACACTTGCAATCATACTTTGACAACACAGTGATTTAATTAATAATTAGCAAAAGGTCGTGAATCGTGTTAAAAGCAAACTTCTCTACCCAGGTTCTTATTTATATTCACTCTAAAGTGAATAGAACACAGGCTTTAGTTAACATATGTGTATATTATAACACCATTGTCATCAACTTCTTGTGTGTAAATGAAAGGAGTGATTTTCCCATTATCTTGATGCTGGACCATCCTCTTTGCCTTATTAAGAAGGAAGAAGAACATCCCCATGACGGTCATGCATTTCTTCTTGATGTTTATTTTGATACTATAGTTATCCCGATCGCCAGGTCGATAAGCAGGATTGCGGCGGCCGCGGCGCTTAGAGCCACCTTTATTGTAACCTTTAATGAATAAAAATAAAAATCATTTATTTTCAGACAAAAGCAGTCCATAGTTTGGTTAGTAACAATTTGATCTTAGATACTATGTTAGTAGAGTTAGTAACAATGTTCTTAGACGTATGTTAGTAGTACAGCATGGGGTTTGATAAACTACACTCGACAGCAAATAAATCGCACCACCCGCGACAAGCACTTTCAAACGTATGCATCCCCACTTCACACCAACATTGGTACCATTCAAAAGCCTAGTTCTAAACTTCATTTCATTATAGGAAAGGTTTTTATCCCAAAAATGTTTCTTTAGAAGGATCCAGAGTCACTTCTTCAAAAAATAGATAGTTACGTTTGAGCCAACTTTTATGGCTATAAAACTGTTAAGTTGGGATTAATCGCTATCCATCTGTTAAAGAAGACACGTGTGATCATTATTTGGTTTTATAACCATAAAATTTGGTCTAATTGATCCCAGAGGTGAGCCCAGTGAGGTCTTTTTTCAAGTCGCATTTACGGTATATGTTAATCATTTATTAAGAAATTAAATGTGTTTTTCTTTAAGGATATTTATTGGGCTTTAAAGTTCACGTCGCGGGTGGTGCGATTTATTTGCTGTCGAGTGTATATTGACTCTTTATCTATGGACGCTCTATTGCTTCACATGCCTAATGTGTCAACAAAGCGACCATAGACGGCTGAGTCCAGCCTCTCAGCAATCATTTCCAGGATTCCATTCCCACTTGTCCTCAGTCTTTGTAACACAGACACAGTTGTATGTAAGATAAATATAATGATCATCATTTTAATTAATAACATTAAATTGAAGACTTGAATAAAGATTGTTGAAGCCTTGCACGAAATTACCAATTTATTCGTCCCAGGTTGAAGACATGTCCTTTACTAAAACACCATAAGCTATGCTCAATTTTGAATAAACGTATTCATTCTTTGTGATCGAATCAGAAATAAGGAGATCTGCGGGAGAACCAAAGTGACCGACATAGCTCGCAGAATTGCAAAAACCAAGTGGCTGTGGGTGGGGCACATAGCTCGTAGAGACGATGGCCGTTGGGGCAGGAAAGTTCTCGAGTGGCGACCACGGGCTGGAAGACGTAGCGTGGGCAGGCCTCCTACTAGGTGGACCGACGATCTGGTAAAGGTCGCGGGAAGAGTCTGGATGCGGGCAGCACAGGACCGTGCATTGTGGAAAACCTTGGAGGAGGCCTTTCTTTATCCAGCAGTGGACGTCATTTGGCTGAAACGTTAACGAACGAAATCATTCTTCTTAATACGACTGATATACCCTTCAACAGCTCGACATAGACAAAAGACATGATTGCTAGCAGTTAATATCTTCAATAATTAAAATTAAGGAGTTGGCTCTAAATAGGCCTGATGATCGAAAGAGCATACCAGACGTGGGACATACTGATGTAAGAAAGTACCTTGATACAAGCTGTTTCACTATAGTCTGGTCTGCGAGCACGTAGAATTTTGTTCAATGACCCCAAGCTACCCATCCTTATCGCTCGCGCGTAATTATATTGCTGTCGCGACTGTGCGACGGGCGCCCACAGTGAGTGTGCAAGCGCGACAGCAATATATTATTAATATTTAGATGGGGCCTCATTACCTGCCTCCGGAGCGGCACCCCCAGGAGACCAAGGAGCTCGGCAACGACGCGAGTTAGCTGTCCAGCCCTGCGCCATCTTTGGAAAATAACCGCCGCGTTGATACAGAAAAAGATCACTCCTGTCGAACAGATGTAGGCCTGTGGACAAAGCAAAATAATTTTATTAGTATACCCCTTTCGTTCGTCGTCGTTTCAGCCAAATGACGTCCACTGCTGGACAAAGGCCTCCTACAAGGTTTTCCACAATGAACGGTCCTGCGCTGCCCGCATCCAGGCTCTTCCCGCGACCTTTACCAGATCGTCGGTCCACCTAGTAGGAGGCCTGCCCACGCTACGTCTTCCAGCCCGTGGTCGCCAGTCGCCACTCGAGAACTTTCCTGCCCCAACGGCCATCGTCTCTACGAGCTATGTGCCCCGCCCACCGGATAGTGAAAATCGGGAAGTTTCCTGTGCTTAAGACGCAAAGCTGCCTTATGTAGATCAACTGTAGAGAGCCTCTGTCTATTTTGTTAAAAAGCCTACGTAGTTCTTATCTATCCCTCTTTTTACCGTCACATCGCAAAGCTATAAAAAAGAGAAGCATTTAAACACAACTTCTGCTTGAATAACCCACCTTCGGCTTCGTTGACTCTACGGAATCGGTCGGAATATTCCTCGTCCGCACTGGGGCATAAGGGGTAGTCATAGTCATAGTCATATATGTTTATTGCATCATGTTGGTACATTTGGATCTTAAATATTAAAAGTAAAACATATCTCGAAACGACGGCTCTCTGGGGTCGGGCACACTTATCTGAAATTCCACTTATGATACATGCTGTGAAACTTGCATACGATGTAGAATAGAAACAGCAGATAGTTTCAAGTATTTGCTACAAACTTTACTGCACAATGTTGCTGTCAAAATACAGTCACTAAGCCCAAAGTTATTTTTATATGGGCTAAATGCCAATAAATAAATCCTAGCAATATAATAATATGGATATGGGCCCCAGTGCGTACGAGGTTAAACAAATACCATGATTTAAAAAATCTATCTATATCTGTAAAAACGAAAGTTCACTCATTGACTGACTCACTCATCACGAAATCTCAGAAACTACAAGTGCTAGGAGTCTCAAATTTTGCATGGGGGTTCCTTTTAGAACGTAGGTGCTCACTAAGAACGGATTTTACGAAACTCCACCCCTAAGGGGGTAAAACGGGATCCAAGCGTACGAAATCGCGGGCGACCGCTAGTATTTTATATTTATATCATACGGATCATACCAGGTATTAAAATCCCCTACCTGAAACACCATTCCAGCTCCCTGCTGCAGCCCAGCGCCCAAAGCTAACCCCAAAACGGCCACGACATAAGTCACGAGCAACCCCCCACTCACAGACTGTTCCCACCTAAACACCCTCATAGACCTCACATGGAAGGTCAACAGGGTCACCAGTATCACCAGGGTTATGAGGCGGAGAACCAGGGTGAACCCCTTGCTATGATGGTCAAACGTTTTTGCGGCTTCCGAATCCTGAGGACTCGCCATCGGATTAAATAGGCTATGGTAATAAATAAACTAAAATGAACTAAAAACTTAGTTGTTGCAAATGTAAACAAATAATAATTGACGTTATCTATCTTAAATTTTCTTTATTTTTTTAATGATTTACGGCTTTGAGAGTGTACAAATTAAGTTCTGCATAATCTGGTGTTTATGTAGAATATTCTGTTCTCTTAGGCATCATAGGAAATAGTGCACCCGTTTATTGAAGTTTATAATTAATAATTTCGTTATGTTTGAGCCGATAAGCCATGGTAATATAAAAGTTTATCAAAATCAATTTAGAAGATTTTATGTGAAGGAATAACATCCGTCCATCTTTATAAACTTCATGACGAAGCAAAGCAGACATCAGTTTTATGTCCTTACATTACGGTTCCAATTTAACCAAACTTTCTTTGTCCCCAGGGTACGCGGCAGCCACGTGCCGCTTCCCAGGTGCGCCGGCGCACTCCAAAGTCGCATTTTCGGACGACGCCCTTTCAGAGGGGACGATTGCAACCTACGCCTGCGAAAGAGGCTTCGAGCTACTGGGCCCGGCGAGGAGGATATGCGGGACCAATGGGAAATGGACGCCGGATGGGATACCATTTTGTGGTGAGTGTTTGTTATTATACCTCAATTTTAGACCGTGCTATCCTCATAGGATTCCTTGAAATACTCTTGTGGCTAATATACTTTAGCGCACCAAATTAGCGCTTCACTCTTCGCGACAGGAACCAAGACACAGTAGAGTTTTTTAAGCCTTTAATGGCGTGGAAAGGATAGAAAATACTCTTCAGATCACCAGATGTATCCCGGTTATCATGGATAGATAACAACTTCTCATGCTGGACACTATAGCATCTTATGTATCTAAACAAGCGACCCGCCCCTGCTTTGCACAGGTACAATTCCTACTTAAAAATCTTCCTTTTGAATCACTCTATATATTTAAAAAAAAGCATCAAAATCCGTTGCGTAGTTTTAGATTTAGACAGACAGAGCGCAGCGACTTTGCTATAGTGATGTTATTTGCAACAATAGTGTGATGTGCTGTCGACCATGTGTTGTCTGTCAATCTGTCAGTCAGTCAGTCACAGTTTTACGTAAAGAAGAGGAAGAAATACAATATTACATCTTTTCTTATCAAGTAGACGGCAAATCGGTTATTTACTTATTTGTCATCATGCCAATAATCTGCCACTCGTAATGGTGCGAAGGTCTTGGAAGACTCAAGTATATATAATAATAATATGTTCAACAAATAACTTTTTTACCTTCTTAAAATAGCGTAATATTATGGCTCAGTATATTTTCCTTATTCTTATTCTGAAGAAAATCTTTATGGCAAACATAAATAGCTTTTCCACAAAGTGCTATAAAATAGTTACAAATTATTTCTGTTACATTAGTATCACTGAATATTAAAATACACCCATTTCTACTTATATAACTTTATTACCGCGACATGAAATATGTGGATATCGAGAGATGAACTCGTTCAAGCAATATCATGGATGGTATGTGGATTTAACGTATGGTATCTTACTAATATTGTATCTTACTTTCTTACTAATATTATAAATGCGAAAGTTTGTATGGATGTCTGGATGATAACATGTCTGTTACTCTTTAACGCAAAAACTATAGACTTTGTTTTATACTATGTCGTGATAAAAATACTTTCGTCTTCGAATCGTTTGCGTATTCGATAAAATTCGATACTCAACCTTCGAATTAAACGATAACGTGACAATTTTGATTCTCAAAATAAGTTTCGTGCAACCATTTCATACACTAAGTTCACTTTACGACACGTTCACAAGGGCGCTGTTGTAGTTTTCGTATTAAATCTTTTGATGGCGATTCGAGTACGCAAACGATTGGAACTCGAAAGTTTTTCGTGCTAGCCGTGCTGATCTAAAACTTGAGCTGTCAGTGACGTGAGTCGAGTGCTCAATATCACTGCGCTTCGATATCAACAAGTAGGAGAAGGGGCGCTGCAACAAACTCAGTCACTGTATGCGGGTAAATAAATAAGCAAGCCCTTGTCTGGGGCTTTGAGCGGTTTGGTTTAAGATTATGCATCATCATCATCATCATCATTTCAGCCACAGGACGTCCACTGCTGAACATAGGCCTCCCCCAATGACTTCCGCATCGCACGGTTGGTAGCGGCCTGCATCCAGCGCCTTCCTGCTACCTTTATCAGGTCGTCGGTCCACCTTGTGGGTGGACCTCCCACGCTGCTTTTTCCGGTACGCGGCCTCCATTCCAGAACCTTGCTGCCCCATCGGCCGTCAGTTCTGCTTACTATGTGCCCTGCCCACTGCCACTTCAGCTTGCTAATCTGTCGGGCTATGTCAGCGACTTTATGTCTATGGCTATGCCTATGGCTCAATAAATGCAGGTTTCATTACATTACGCTGCACGCTCAAGGGCAAACTTCTCAGATAATTACTTTCTCGTAGAGAGCGTTGAGAGCGCCACACAATGGCTTCCGATCTTTAATAGTCTTTCACGCGCTTGAGAATCTTCATGATGAAAGTAAAAGTGGGTCGCAATACGTTACGACTCAAAAACTTAGTTAAGCTTAATCAGGGTATTGTTAGCGTTGAAAGTTAAATAATTAGTGATTAACGCCCGTATTCACAAACGATGCTTGCTTAAGCAAAACAGCAAATCGAACGCACAGCGTTTAATAGAGCTCTGTGATTGGTTCGTGTCACTCTGTTGTCTACGCGCACTGTGAGGCCTCATAGGAATGTTTGTGAACACGAGCGTATAGGTAAACTGTTAAATGTACGGACAGTGGCACTTCAAGCTGTACTTTGTGACGTCATTTAGTTGTGATAGGTGCCATATTGCAGCCTGATCAGTGCTTAAAGAAAAATGTGGCAGAGACAACATTTATTAATACAACTCATTCGTGGCAACTCTATTACGGCGTTTTTATTAAGCCCAGAGATTAGTTAAAATTATGTAATATGCAACACATAACGATATCTAATTAAAATAACTAAGATTTAATCAGAATTAAATAAAATTCTTTAAACATCTTCGACTTCGAAGCCGTGTGGTGACGGCAGAAAAGAATACACTTGTCACCAACCCCTTCTCTTCCCGCGGGTGTCGTAAGAGGCGACTTAGGGACTACACATCAAACATAAGGGACAGCAGCGCTCTCTGAAAAACATCAATCTTTTAGACTGCGATCTCCAACCCCCCTGCCAAGCGTGGGGATCATGGCAAAACCCTCCACTATAGTGGAGGAGGCTCATAGTCCAGCAGTGGACTGTAAAGAGCTGTTGATGATTGATGATGATGATGAATGCGTCCACTGCACGTGTCGAAATATCGAACAATATGCAATCGGTAATTTCTCTATTATGTTTGGCTCTATTCCTCCAGGTTACTCATCAGGCCTTTGTTGCACTGTTATCAGTATCAATACACCTTTAAAGGCTTGATCAACAAGCCATTATATCCCTGACTACCAGCATAGAGTAATTTCAGCAAAGCTTCTCAGTAACCTCTGAAACGATCTGTTATGCAATAGCAATCAGCTTAAAACAGCCTCATGCATCCATACACGTGACTTGATACCGGAAGTTGATGCCGGAAGCTCGCATGTCCAGCCTACCTATAGCATGTGAATTAGTATGCTCACGCGAATGACGTAATGGATCCGAGAAAAGCGGATGGGATAGTGACAAAGTATGATACAACCACTCGCAACTATTAACGCTTTTGTGTCAAATTAAGGTGGTTTATACGAAGCTTTTAAGCTTTACTAACTCAATTCTAACAAGAGAGTCAGGGTAAATCAAACCTTAAAAATACAGGGTGTCCCAAAAAGTTGTGTCAAGCCGAAACCCAGAGGTAAAGCATCACTAGGGCTACAGGAATCACCGCGACTTCAGATAGTTTTAGAGTTATGTTTTTTTTTACAGCATATAGGATTTTTTACTTTTTTGTTTTACATTCTTGTTATGGATGTAAATACTTCTGAATCAGATAGGCCTTAAATGCCTCATCTAATAATAATAAAAAAATAGAAACATGTACCTTATCTATTTGCGCCACAGTGAACAAAAAAGTTATAAGCAGTTTAAAACAATCATAACTCGAAAACTATCAAAAATCGCGGAACATACTTTGGGGTGATTCGAATAGCCCTAGTTATGCTCTACCTCTGGGCTTCGGCTTGAAACTACTGTTTGGGACACCCTGTATTATGTGAAAATTGCATACCTCCTTTCCCACTACGACTTACTCGTCAGAAAGACAAGGCATATCTTCCAAATGAATTGGCCCACTTTTAGCTTGATCAATGGATTTAGGATTGAATTTTTTAATATTTTTTCTTCCAGCAACTGGGCCCATTCTAAGATTCTAGAGTATTTTTTTATTTATTTGGTGTTTAGAAAAACATTAAAGTCTGTAGAGTCTTCCAGTGACTTTGGTTACTAACTTAAGAGGAATTAAATAATCCTCCTAACTTCTTTCCTATCCACAAGCAAACAATCCTTAAATACCTCCAGTATAGGCAAAAAAACAACCCTAACATAACTAAACCGGTCTTACATTGTTTGGTATAAATAATATTTAAAAATATCATTTGTAAGTATGCAGAATCCCTCTCGGAAACGTTTAATACTAAAAACATAACCCTCCTTCTGGCGCATTCGAATAAAAAACCCTATAATTTCACTCAAGAGTTATTTTTGAAAAATTCAATCTCAAGAATAAGAGTCTGAAAACCCTCAACTCCTCTCATTAATATTACAACGAGATATACATATAAAAGAATCCAAATGTGTTTGTCTAAAAGTTATGTTTATTTGCTGTAGTGAGTTGGCTTACAAACAAATCTCAGGCAAGATTTTTAAGAACAAAATACTAGTTTTCAAGTCTGTAAATGACTAATAAGAATCACGATTTCATAACAAGCATTTATTCTAACATCTGCAGGATCAACGATATCCTAAGATGTATGTTTATCTTTAAATAGGATTGTAAACAAAACTATAATTAATACGAGTAAACATTCTTTAAAACAAATATCTTATACCAAAACAGCTTACAAAATTATTTGTTGAAGCAAAATCACTTTAATCACATCGCTTAATAATATAAAACTACAAATTACCGCTGCACAACAACTACAAAGTATGTTTTTGTCTATATTTATTTTATAATTTAAAATAACTAATGATATTTTTTCTAATCGAGAAAATAACTCTATTTAAGTTACATTTTCACTCTTGTACAACTGAATCAATTTAAATAATTACTTTAGTTGGAAATAGATCTACAATTTAGAAACCTTTCCAGATAGACTGATTAAATAGGTTTAATATGCAATCCTACTAGTATTATAAATGCGAAAGTTTGGATGTCTGAATGTTTGTTACTCTTTCACGCAAAAACTGCTGAACGGATTTTGTTGAAACTTTACAGTATTATTGTTTGTAACCCAGATTAACATATAGGCTATAAGTTATGCCGATTTGTGACACTAAAAATTCACGCGGGTGAAGCCGCGGGCAAAAGCTAGTAATGTTATAAAACACGATAAATCCTTACAAAAGTAAAGAGGGTAAGATCATAAG